GTCCCAGTGCTCAGCCCCGTCCGGGGCAGCCACAGCCTCTGCGGCCGGGCTGTGCCAGGGCCTCGCCCCTCAGCGCTCCCAGCCTGGCCCAGGGGCAGCTCCGGGGCCTCCTCTGGACTCGCTGCAGCAGCTCCACATCTGCTGATCCTGAGCTGGGCTTGCTCTGCACGTCCTGCTGATGCTGAGCTGGGCTTGCTCTGCACATCCTGCTGATGCTGAGCTGGGCTTGCTCTGCACGTCCTGCTGATGCTGAGCTGGGCCAGCTCCAGGTCCTTGTCCTCAGGGCTGCTCTCGATGCCTGGGTCCCTGGCTGGGCTTGTGCTGGGGAGTGCCCGGACACAGGGCCAGGAGCTTCCCCTTGGTCCTGCTGAACGCTGCGGGGGATTCAGGAGCCTCCAGCCTGCCTGGATCCCACTGAATGCCAGCTGGGTTTGCAAGCAGACACACTCCCTTCTGGTTAGCATTTATGTAGTTTCCGTTACATATGAATCTATTTCCATGTCTGTGGATGTATATACAGGATTAAAGATACACATTCTACAGAGATACATATTTTCATTCCTGTAATATATACACATGTATTTCTATAATATATACACATATATTCTGATCATCTCTTCTCTCATATTCCTCTATACATTTTATATATTTAATATATGCATTCTAATAAAATATCTCAGTATGTACAGAGACACAGCCTTTCACATATTTTTATATATCTGCTATATAATATATGGGGATATGTGTATGTTTGGAGAGACACATATCATACATGCACAAACGTGTGTATGTTTTGTTACATCTTTATGTATATGTATCTGGGTTTGTATATATATGTATATCTATATATATGGGTATATAGAATATAGAATTTATACATACACATAAAAGACATATCCTTATATAGATAAATACATCTATATATACACACCTATATTTCACTATGTATGCATATTATATATAAAGTATTTAATACATTCTACTTTATATATACACATAAATGCATATATATGTTTATACCCACACTTTGTGTATATTCTATGTACATGTATATGCAGGCACACACACGTTTTTAATATATACAAAATGTCATATTCATAATATATACAAAATGTTCACATATATATATTCATATATATACAAAGTGTTATATTCATAAGGGGGGTGTGCACACCCCCACCTGTCAGAGTTTGCCTTGCTCAGCCTCCCCCAC